TGCGACACGCCGGCGTCCACCCGGCAATGTTGCGACCAGGTGATGATTTTTACGTCCGGTTGCTCATTCGCTCTGGTTGCCACTCCTGTCTCTCCTCCTCCTCCCCCCTCCGCCCCTCTGGCCAACTAGCTGTGGCCCGATGCTGGTCCGTTTTCTCTTTCTTTTTTTTGGGGGGGGGCGTCGACCCTGTAGGGTAATCCACAGGTGCCGCCGCTGCCAGTCTTTTCGCCCAGCGAAAGGTTACTTGTAACCAGTTTTTGTCCTCTGGGACGTGCGAGTTTGCCTTGCGACCCACGGCGTTTAGGGACGCAATCTGGCTTCCGTGTCTCGGCCGCAGGAGCAGGAAAGCCTTGCTACGTGGCCGCGGCTACGCCCGTTTTAGTTTACCTCCGCTGGCCAAGGTCTTGCGTGTCGGCTCGCCTATTGCAGGTTGGCCTTCAGGTGCTTCCAAGCTTGCCTAGTGCATGTGGTCGGGCACCAGTGGTGTGTTCGCGGGGGGGGGGGGGGAAAACCTGCTTCGCCATCTGACGGGGTCCTTTACAACGAGCCGTCGTGTCGTCCACGAGTGTCCAGAGGGACGCCTGCGGGGCCACCTGATGGGCCTTGTCCAGCACCCCGTGGATGAACACCTCGGCCAGGGACACTCCCCTCGCCGACCCCGCCACCACCGAGCGCGTCGGCCAGACCTTGTCGCTGATGCCGTGGCGCTCGCTGGTCCTTCAGGATGCGAGGGCTCAGGAAGAGCTCCACCTCCATGGCCACGACGATGGCAGGGTACTTCACCTGCGCCGCCAGCTCCATGAGCTGCGCCAGGCTGATCATGTCGTAGAAGGTCTGGGGATCGAGGAGGAGAGTGGCCGACGCCAGCCGCATCCTCCTGCCTACCTTGTCGAGCAGGGCACGGTGCAGCGCGGCACTGAGCGCAGAGCACCCTCGCAGGGCGCCGCCCCAGAATGCCCCGAGCTGCTCCTGCCAGTTGTCCACGATGCTGCCTCGAGCTTTGCTCCACATCTTGGGCAGCAGGGCAATCATGCCCAGCACCCTGCCGCCTCCAGCTGGCTTCGGGGCCGATGCTGCCACCACCGCCATGCACTGGCGAGCCCAGACGACCTGGGCCTCGGTATCGTTCATCAGCTGCTTCAGCTCCTCGCGCACCTCCTGCGGAAGCCTTTGCACCTCCGTCTAGCTCAGCACGTCCACGCCCATCGCCTCCCTGCCGTTGATGGAGTTCAGCGCCCTGTCGAACTCCTCCTGCTCCATGGGTGGGTCGTCCTCCTCTTTCGCTGCCTCCAGGGTCCCTTGCAATTGCCCTTGGATGTCCTCCAAGCTTGCAATCGGGTCTCGCCACAACCCTCTCACGCCCTGTCATTCACGATCGTCGCAGGGTCCGCCGTGGTGGAGGTGGCTGTGTAGATCTCGTTGGTGATGGTCGCCTCGTCTTTCGCGCGCTCGTGCAGCACCCCCATTTTGTCACTCCACACCTCCTTCACCCACTTGTCGTAGGCCCTTCGTGCTTCGCCCATCGCGCGCGCTTGCCCCGTCGCCGCCAGCGTGCCCGTTAGCTCGAGCAACTTCGGTCGGTGCGCCGCCGAGAGAGTCTCGACCTTGACCATCCACTTCTGCCAGACCATGATGCGCGCGCTGCCGAAGAAGTCGGCCATGCCCTGGTCCAGCGTCTCCTCGGCGATCCTCTTGAGCTTGCAGCTCACCCAGCCTCGCTTAGCCTCATCGCGCCTGCCGCGCGCGAGCGTCTGGTACCTCATCAGGGTGAGCGCGTAGCACATGGCGTCGGACTTGTGGCACTTCCTGTGTGCCCTGCTTGGCGTGACCTTCGATTTCGCCCACTTCAGGTCGAAGCCCCTCCAGTGTCCCAGGTAGCGCGCCGTCTCCGACTCCTCCACATCGTGGATGGTCAGCAGCGCGAGCTCTAGCCTGCTCACCCAGTTGCCGTGCCTGTGCGAGAGGTCCTCCTCCTGCTCCTCGAGGCCCTGGTAGACGACGTGGTCGTCCAGCGGCTGCGCGGGGCCCGTGTGTGTGTGTGTGTGAGCCTGTCTTGGTAGGGGTCGCCACTCGGCCGAGTGGTGATCCCTCTACCAGAACGTCGGCTCCTGGAAATTCAGTCTGCACCTGCTGCTCCTCCGCCTGCCTCGAGCACTCCAGTGGCGCCAGACCTGCTCGACTTGGGTTCCTGGCAGACCTCCTCCTCCTCCTCCTCCTCCTCCCTTCTCCTCCTCCTCCTCCTCCTCCTCCTCCTCCTCCTCCTCCTCCTCCTCCTGCAGCTTCATAAACGCCTCCTGCTCCTCGGGGGGAGTCTCGACTTCCTCTCCTGCAGCTTCTTCTGCTCAATCCTGCTCGTCTTGCTGTTGGGGTCCGCGCTCTTCCTCGGCCTCTGCGTCCGCGGCAGCGCCGTGGGCACCGCGAGCGCCCTCTCCCGCCACTCCTGGTAGGAGCCCTTGGCTGCGATGAGCGGCGCGCAGTGCACCTTCCAAGGCACCTCCAGCTCCGCCGCTACAATACCCTGGTCCGCGAAGTCCTTGCGCACCGGGCAGTAGTCCAGCAAAGACCCCTGCTCCCCTGTGGCGCACATGACCTTCGACGCCTTCGGTGTCTTCACCACCCCGCCGACCTTCGGCGGGAACTCGCTCTTCAGCAGCAGCTCTGGGTCGAGGTTCCAGCCCACCGCCGCGATCCACGGGTTGTCCACGGCCCGGCCTTCAGGAAGGCCGCCAGGTTCGCCAGCTTCTGGGGGTTTGGGGACCCCTTCCCCACTGGGGCGCCATATGCGCTGTCGCGTAGACCGCGTTGTCCGCCTTCGCGTTGATGGTGGTCGCCACGAAGCCGCGGAAGGGATCGGCTCTGCCTCGCTGCTGTGCTGCCACTCGCTCATGATCAAACGAGGTGGTCTCCAGATGCCGCCTCGCTTGTATCATCTCTCCACTACCTCACCCTGTTTCACTCAGCCCAGACGGCCGCGCTGCCGTGGCCGTGGTCTTCCAGCCGTCCCGACCAAGGTCGACCGTGACCTTCTGCTTGTCGCGCAAGAGGTGGTTCTCGCAGGTGTCCATCACACTTACCCTCTGGTGTCGCTCCTGGCGCTCGTTAACGTAGTTATGGGCCTGGGGCCCCACTTCTCCACATTGGCAAAGAAGAGCTGACGATCGCCAGCTGTGGCCAACGCCGCCCTCGCGCCAGGACGTAGCTCGTCAGAGGCCCGACGGGCTATCACGGCTGGCCGTTGCTCCGCCCTTTTCCTGCACCCCGCCCAGCAGCAGCAGCAGCAGCAGCAGCAGCAGCAGCAGCGCCAGCAGAAGCCGCAGCAGCCCTCGCGGTGCCCGGCTTGGCATTCTTGCTGCCCCTTTTGGCGACGGCGGCGGCGCGCTCAGCCCTGATCTTCGCCCAGTAGTCGAGCAGCTCGTGCTTCCGCTTCTGGGCAGCCTCTGCATCTGAGGCTGCCGCTGGCTCAGCGGCTGCTGCTTCTGGCGCCGCGGCCTGCTGTTCTCCCGACCCATCCTTGGCGGCCTCGCCTGGGATCGCCTGGCCGTCCTCCTTCTTGCGCTCCTTGCGCAGCTGTGTGCGCTGGGGAGTTGCTCGGCCTGCTGCATCTGGAGCTGCTGGTGCTGCTCCGCCCGGGCGCGCAGCTGCTTGGCCTCCTCCGCGTGCTGCTGGCGGACCTCTGCCCGCTCTCGGCGCCGGCTCTGCGTCCCAGTTTTCTGCAAGGACATCCTCCCAGCCTGCTGCATCTCCTCCACCTTGGCGCGGAAGGCCAGCTCCGCCTCCTTTTCAGGGCCGTCCTCGTAGTCGTCCAGGTTGGCGTGCAGGAGCCCGTCGTCCACCGAGAAGTCCGGAATCGATTGCACCTCCGTCCGAGCAGACTCCGACGACGAGGCCTTGGCACGGGCCTGGTCCGCGTCGGAGGCGTCCTCGAGAGCCTGGTCCCGACGAAGGAGCGCCTCGTCGTGCAGGATGGACCGGCGCTCCACCTCGTCCTCGCACTTTAGCAGCCACTTCTGCGCCTTCTGGTGCCGCCCCTTGGCCTTCGTGAGCTCCTGCCATGCGTCGGGCGCCCTCGGCTGCGGCGGCGGCGGCGTATGCTTGCGCTGCAGCTCCTCGATCTCCTTTGCCAGCTTCGCGTTGCCCCCCCGCGAGGCAGTCCAGCGCCGCTGCCTTGTCATCCTTCTCTCCTGGCTTCGGCCCCCACCACGCCCCCGCGGAGCTGCCCGCGTGCTACTGGCCGCAGTGGTGGCTGCGCCGGGGCGGCTTGCCCTGGAACTGCTCCAGGCACGCGCCGCACTTGCACCGCCCACCTTGCTTGTCATGCTGCCAATTATACACCCACTGGCCACACTCATTGCAGACTGTGAAAGGTTTACTCCTGGACATCCTCTGGCTGAGCCCAAACGCTGTGACACTGGCCTGTCCAGTCGAATCGCGTCTCTCAGCGCGCACACGATCAAGGGCTTGAGCCAGGAGGAGGAGGAGGAGGAGGAGGAGGAGGAGGAGGAGGAGGAGGAGAGTAGGAGGAGAGGAGGAAGAAGGGGAGGAAGGAGGAGGAGGAGAGGAGCATAGGAGGAAAAAAGAGAAGGAGGAGGGGTAGGCGTAGGGAGGAGGCGAGGAGGAGGGGAGGAGGCGGAGGAGACGGAGGAGAGGAGGAGATGCGGGGAGGCGAGGAGGAGAGGAGGAGAGGAGGAGGGCGGGCTGAGAGGAAGAGGAGCATGAGGAGGCGAGGGAGGAGACGTGGATGGAGCGGAGTAGTAGGGCTGGCTGAGGAGGAGAGGAGGAGGCGGGAGCATTAAGTAGGAGGAGAGAGGAGAGTAGAGGCAGGAGGCAGAGGCGGAGGTGGGGGCGTCCGGCGGGGTCGGGCCAACGCGGAAGGAGATGGGGATGCGGCGGGACGAGGAGGCAGAGGCTGCGCGTCGCGGAGGGAGGAGGAGGCGGAGTGTCTTGCTGCCGGCTCTGCGGCGGGACTATTCTTTAGGACGGCTCGCTCTGGCTCGTAGGCTATGCTGCGGCTGCGGCGCCTTCCCTGCTTCTTCTTCGTCGTCTTTCCGTCTTCTGCTGCGGCTATTATCTCGCGGCCGGCGCGTGAGGACGTTCCCTGCCATCCGTGGTCCGACGCCTGTACGCTGAGCGTGGGCGGCCCAGGACGTACCCATCCCCCCCCGCTCTCCCCCTCGCTAACTGGCGCAGCCGACCTAGCGGCCACGGCCCGGCCTCCTACACGCGCGCGCGCGTCCCCCGTCGCCGTCGTCCGCCGCCTGGCCGTCGCCGTCCTTGGCCGTCGTCGACGACGCCGTCGTCGTCGCCGTATCGTCGACCTTCCTCCGCTCCTCCTCCCCTCCCACCTCCCTCTCCTCCTCCTCCAACCTCCTCCTTCTCCTCCACCTCCTCCTCCTCCTCCTTCTCCTCGTCCTCCTCCTCCTCCTCGTCTTCCTCCTCCTCCTCCTCCTCGATGCTGCCTCCTCCTCCTACTCCTCCTCCGCCTTCCTGCTTTCTCCTCATCCACCGCCCCCGCCACTCCGCCTCATTCCTCTCCTCCTCATCCTTATTTCCTACCTCATCCGCCACCCCTCCTCCTGCTACTCAGTCCCCCGCAGACCTCCTCCAGCCCCTCCTCTTCCTGCTTTCCCCTCCCTCCCGTTATCCTGTGCGCAATTCTGTTCCGCCTCCTCCGCCTCCTCCTGCTCATTCTGCCCCCCCCCTTCCCCACTCCTGCTTCTCCGTCTCCCCCCCTCCTTGTCCTCCTGGCCTCCTCCGCTTCCAGCCGCCGCGGGCCCACCACAAGCGGGCTGGCCCAGGTGGTCCGGTCGGTCGGCGGCGACGAGCTCAACGTGGCCATAGCGCTGGCCAAGATCGGGTGGACGGACACCGCCTGGGCATCGGTGCTGCCATCGGGCCCCCTCGGAGACATTGTCCGGGAGACCGCGCGCGCGGCCGGCGTGTGCCTGAGCCATTGCGAGGCCACCGAGGGCGAGATCGGCACCTACACCGTCCTGCCCGAGGACCCAAAGGGGGAACGCACACGCCGATGCCGATGCTACTGGCCTCCCTCAGCGGTCCTTGGGGGCCATTGGCGTCCCTCGGCGGCCACCGGCGGCCCTCGGCGGCCCCTGGCGGCCCTCGGCGGCCCTCGGCGGCTTTCGGAGGCTCTCAGCGGCCCTCGGCAACCATCGTTCGCCCATAGGCCGAGCGCGGCTCTCGGCGGCAATCGGCAGCCCTCGGCCTCTTGGGGCCTCGCGAGGGGCCCTCGTCGCCACGGGCGGACCCGCGCTGGAGTCCTGGGCGGCCCTCGCCCTGGGAGTGGCCCAGGGAGCGGCGGCGCATCGGCAGCTCTCGTGTCTACCCCCAGCGAGGAGTGCAGGGTGCACTTCCAGCGGGGGCACTCGTGCTTCGCCCTGCAGCGGGAGGGGCTGGTGGACTGGCCAGCGCTGCTCGGGGCCCGGGGCGCGCCGACGTGGCTGCACCTGTCGGGCATCTCGCCCCTGGTCTGCCCCGCCGCCGCTAGGTGTTGGGCGGAGGGCATCGAGACCGCCGCCGGGCAGCACCTGCCAGTGACACTGGACCTGAACCACCGGCCGCAGCTGGGCACCCTGGAGCAGCTCTGGGCCGTGGTGGCTCCCAAGGAGCGGGCGGTGGGAAACACGGACATGTATGTGTCATACACCGATCCTGGCCAGGCCCATCCTTGGCCCAGGATCGGTGCCTCCCTGGCCGAGTCAGGAGGGCGTATGCGCCGATCCTGGGCCCATGATGGAGCAGCCCAGGGTCAGTGCATGTGCATACTTCTTGTCTCTCCAAAAAGGTCCGCCACATCCACCTGATGATCCTCGCGGCGGCGTCCGTGCGAGGGCTGGCGGCGCTCCTCGGCTTGGACGTCGACGGTCAGCATCGCTTAACCTCGAAGGGTCTTTTGCTTTGGCTATCCCCCCCCGTTTCCCTCGGCGGTGAATGAGCTCCTTCTTCCTCCCCCTCGTCCTCCTGCTCCTCCTCCCCCTCCTCCTCATGTTCCTCCTCCAGGTCCTCCCTATTACTATTACTCCTACTCGTACTACTACTACTACTACTACTACTACTACTACTACTACTACTACTACTACTACTACTACTACTACTATTACTACACTACGACTACTACTACTACTACTACTAACGACACTACTGCAACTACTACTACTACTACTACTACCAACTACTTAACTACTACTAACTACTACGACTACTACTACTACTACAACTACTACGACTACTACTACTACTCCTACTAGTACGACGACGACGACGACTACTACTACTGCTACTACGACAACTACTACGACGACTACTACTACTACTACTACGACTACTACTACTACTACTACTACTACTACTACTACTACTACTATTTGTATTACTACTACTAGTGCTACTACCACTACTATTATTATTTTTTATTACTACTACTACGACAACTACTACGACGACGACGACTACTATTACTACTACTTCTACTACTCGTGCTACTACCACTACTACTACTACTACTACTACTCCTACTACTATTTTACTACTACTAGTACTACTACTACTACGACTACTACTACTATTATTACTACTACTAGTGGTACTATCACTAATACTATTAAACTTATTACTACTACTACTACTACTACTACTACTACTACTACTACTACTACTACTACTAGTACGACAACTAGTACGACTACTACGACGACGACGACGACGACTACTGCTACTACTACTACTACTACTACTACTACTACTACTAGTGCTACCCTCAGTGCTACTACTACTATTGGTATTATTTCTACTACTACTACTACTACTACTACTACTACTAGTACTACTACTACTACTACTACAACAAGTAGTAGTAGTAGTAGTAAGTAGTATGTAGTAGTAGGAGTAGTAGTAGTAGTAGTAGTAGGAGTAAGTGGTAGTAGTATAGTAGTAGTAGTAGTAGTTGTAGTAGTATAATGTAAAAGTTAGTAGTAGTATAGTAGTAGTAGTAGTAGGGCTACTACTACTTATTATAAATTATTACTACTACTACTATACGAGCCGTTGGCGTACGAACTGCTATTCTTGTTCAAGGCGCTTCTCGTAACCCCACCAGCCCATCCAGAAACGATGTCCAGAGGAATTGCCTCGATCAGGGAAGTGGGCAACACACGGAGGCAGCCATTATGAGACATCTAGGGATATCTTGAACCATCTTGGAGGTCATCTTGGGCTCTCCCAGGCGCTCTTGAAGTCATCTTAATCAGTGCTCCCCCCCAAGAGGCCAACATGTGGCTAACACCTTAGTAGAATCAATGAGTTGGCATTCTCGCAGAGGCCTCTTGGAGCATCTTGGGTGCTTCTGGGGGGTCTCTTGGGGCCTCTTGGGGGTCTCTTGGGAGCCTCTTGGGGGCATCATGGGGGCCCCTTGGGGCTTCCTGGCCTCCTCTTGGGGCCCTCGTGGGGCACCCTTGGCGCCTTGGGGGCCATCTTTTGGCCATCTTGGGTGAGATCGATCACAGGAGGGTCTCTAATTAGGGTCCCCCCCCCCTCAGGAAGCCAAAATGGGGGCACTACTACTACTACAGCAACAACTACTACTACTACTACTACTACTACTACTACTACTACTGCTACTGCTACTACTAAAACTACTACTACTACTACTACTACTACTACTACTACTACTATTACTACTACTACTACTACTACTACTACTACTACTACTACTACTACTACTACTACTACTACTACTACTACGACTACTACTACTACTATTACTACTACTAATACTACTACTACTACTACTACTACTACTACTACTACTACTACTACTACTACTACTACTACTATAACTACTACTACGACTACTACTATGACGACTACTACTACTACTACTGCTACTACTACTACTACTGCTACTACTACTACTACTACTACTACTACTACTACTACTACTACTACTACTACTACTACTACTACTACTACTACGACTACTACTACTACAATTATCACTACTACTACTACTACTACCTACCTACCTACCTACCTACCTACCTACCTACCTACCGACCTACCTACCTACCTACCTACCTACCGACCTACCTACCTACCTACCTTCCTACCTACCGACCTACCTACCTACCTACCATCACCACCACAACAACGACCACTACTACTACTACTACTACTACTACTACTACTACTACTACTACTACTACTACCACTACCACTACTACTACTACTACTACTAC